TAGACATTTTCACGCTAACGCTAATTTCTAGAGGGGAATCACGAGTCACGCCAGGCCAAAAATCACGCTTGACGTTAAAATAAAATGATTTTTCACGCTAACGCTAAAATATATGGCCATTTCACGCTTCACGCTAAACCCCATCGGCACCCTCACACAAGTATTGTGCATATTGTAAATACATTTATGTTTTTAGTAAATATATATATAGTGAAACCTCTCTATTAGGATTGACCTCAAGAGAAATAATTTCAACCTGGTTGAAAGTTTGTTATCGTTTTTAAATGACAGGTCCCAATTTAGGTATTTGACTATAATTTTCCTAAAAAAAGCATGTTTTATGTATTTTTAGAGGCTACCTTTGTCAAGGGATGTATAGAAGGTGAGAGTGACGAGGGTAAAGACATCTAATATTGTTAGAAGATTAGGTTCTGCCATGATGGAGGAAGCATCGTTTGATGAAATTGGGAACAGATGAAAACACAGACCATTCAATTTCACAACACGCGCCGGAAGGACAAATACATCCGGATAGTTTTATTTTCTCATTTTAACCAGTAATGTACGCCAGTTGATAGTCATAATTAATAAATTTTCACATTATAAGAGATCACATTTTAACAAATATGCAATACTATTTAGGTAATATTAGATGGCCTTGAGTGGGATACATGGAAATATTGTACGAGCTGTAACAAATATTTTTTTTCGACTCGTCTAATATTTTGTCACAGCGAGTAACAATATATTTCCATGTATCCCACGAAAATAGGGCATCCAATATTATAATTATTATCTAGATGGCCATATGGCCTTTGATATTTATTCATATGTGCAGATCATTTCCCATTGATAGTTAGGTGTAATTGTTTTGTTGTCATGAAGGGTTAACCCGGTTTGGTGTTAATTCTACGACGAAGAATATTTGCAGTGTAAACTGTGTCACTGTGTTGCGTTGTATGATTTGGATCAATCACATACTATAGGAGCCGAAACCTGCATGTTCTGCAAGCGGCGTTGTATGTAGTTGATAGTCACTATATTATTATAGCACATAGCTAACGCTATTTAACATATTTCATGTCTTATATATAAGCTTATATTTTCTTAACAAAGTTGGCCATGATAATCACGTGACCGAGGGCTACGTGCCTTTATGTGTCCTGATTACATACCGCCTAGCTACGCCACTAGTTATTACCCGAGTATGCGCGAACTATATTTTCAAGTATTTATTTGTGATCAGCGATATTTGCAACATATTGTATAGATGTAATATCTATCATTTAGTATTAATTTTGAATGAATAAACAATACAAATTATTACAAAGATGTTAATATGACATTTTTGGAGGTTGATCAATGTTATCTGAAAGTCGTGTAAATGTTACTGCCTAACATTTGGTAAAAACGTTATCAGAATGTCAGGAAAACTTTCCTAAAAAACGTTATTAGAACGTTACTGAATAATGTTCTGCTAACCTAAAAGAAACATTCCCATTCCCACATTTAATTATAAAACATCCAAGAGATGGCGCTGTGGCATGTAAACATTGGCTTAGAATGAAGTATTTGCGTACCACATTTCTGGCCGAGTTCAGTCATTTTTAGGGCATTTCGGTGGAATTTTTTTTGACAATTCAGCTCCGGACTGCTTCTTCCGGTGGAATTCGATGTTCTCATAGCGCCTTTCGGTGTTTTTTAGGTGCCGTTCGGCAATTAGACGGACCTAAACATATATCCCAAAACTCTTAGTCTTACACTTTAAGGAAACAACTTGTTATGCCTAGGCGGGAACTTCTCTCTATTAATCATCAATGTGTTTCAATTCATTTTACATGTTACAAATAGTGTAGGGATTGTACTGATCTGCATTCAAAGTTGATCCTTATTTTCAGTAGGACCTCGATCGCAGGGATTTTTTTGCAAAATTCCTGCAGCATGTTAAAGCCAACATGATGCCTGCGGAAGATGATCGCCTCGTCTTCCTGGAAAATCCGGCTTGGTTGGCAAGACACCTGTATTACCATATTGGCTTGACTGCAGGTAACTTGACAACGCACCTTCTTAATATTATGTTTATGTGTAAAGGTAATGGAGAATGAGGGAGTGGGTGAAACCAAGAGAACCCCAGAATCATCAGCTTTTACAAATCCAAACCCATACACCGATTGACAGTTCCGCGCCTGTGTTCTGCGCCAGTAGTTTCGCATTTCCGCGAGAGCCCCGATGTGCTAGTAAACTCTGCCATGTTGTTTATCTCGATGCGTTATCTGCCTTGCATACGCAGGTCGCTCACCTTTGTGTCAAAGAACAGCTAGTGCACGTAGCAGGGAATAGAGCACCGATAATGGATGACCTGAGTGACATGACACTTGATACATTTAAATTATGGTCAATGCATGCTCTAAGTTTTTCTTCAACCAAACTACGACACCGTTTGAGCAGCCTTCACACTACACATTAACGCCATTTTGTCGCGCATCTTTTACCTCGCAATTCTGGACGGAAAATCTCCGCTGTACCTTTGACCTTAGGCCTTACAGCGCATGCGCAGTGTTAACTGCAACAATGGTGTACTTAGATTGAGTCCAAATAAAAAGACATTTACACTACATCGTTAAATTACGCCGCTGGAAAAGTACCGGTTGTTAATTGATAAGGTTGCACTAAAAATCAACGTTTGTTTTATAAGGCTTTGACTTGGTTGAGGGAGGATCCAGCAACTACATTCCTCCATCAGTGAAATGAGAATTGCAACACACGAGCAGCTGCGAGAGCACAACACCAGTTGAGAATAGGCCTGGGTACGTGCAGGAATTAGGAAAGGTTAGTTATTTTTCATTATAATTATGCTACACTATATTTTGCCAGTTTGCAATTCCCTTCAAAATTAGGCAAATAATAACTTGCTCATTAGTACTATGTGGTTAATAAGTCTTACTAAGTCAATACTTTTTTATACATTCTGTAGCTGAACATGCAAGGCCGAGTGTGAATGTTTTCCTGCTCCGCCTCGACACTTTACTGGTTGACCATTCAATAAGATTCTCCATGCTTCTGCACCAACGTTCAGTCATGAGGGTCGAATGAATCGCGCGGGCCAAACAGGCAATGTACTCAAAGTTCGTGAAATATATTCGCAAGGTTGCAGGTGAGCTCACACAAAGTTTCTTATACATGATGGTCCTCAATTTTTGGGAAAGATAAACTTGTTAATGAGCCGACTGTTTACAGGCTTCAACAAGTGGAAACCAAAATTCATTAGGCCGATTGAATGGCGATAATGATAGCTGAACTCTTGTACACTACTAGTATGAACTTGGGGTTGATGCTGGCACGCTTAGAGTAGATAAACATCTAGGTTACCATTATGTGACCCGTGATAGCCAAATGAGTCGGAAGTCGCACAGTAGCATTCTACAGTATAATCGATTTTTAGGCTTAAAATTAGTGTAAAATTAGTGTAAAAACACCATCTACAATGTTTACTTTCGATGTGTATAAACAAAAATGTCTTATAGACCGCGGGGTGAACCCCCAAATTGTGATTTTGCGCCCACCTACCGGTGGCACTACATCATATCTCAACTACTTTATTAAATATATTTAAAAGGTCTGTGAAACTCGTCAATAATAACATTTACAGCAAACAAGAGAAAATCGAAACAAACTGAAGAAAATAATTTATTTTGTGAGAAATATTATCGAATCAAAACGGTCACGTCTCCGCCATTCCCGATTCCGCCCATTCCCCATTCCCGATGTCCCGCACTGTGTTGCTTCTGCAACCATCACAGCGTTCCTTAGCGTTCGCATGGAACTGCTCCCTGCATAAAACAACAAACATGGCGATACATGTCGTGCTTGGTCGTCTGATGATTCTAATACGCTTCCTACTCAAGAATGTGGAGATGAGACTGCCAGGAGATCAACTGCATAATGTAACTGTTGTGGTGGCACATGATGAAGAATGTCAATTGCGCGGGCAAAAGTGTTCATGCAGCAGTGATGTAACTGCTGTGAAGAACTTGAATGTTACCACGACGGAGGCGACACACGCTCTTTCGTCACGTCCAGTATGCTGGCTGGCATTCTCTCGCTCGCCATCAGCTGTACAGCCACAGTCATCATTAGAAGCCGCAGATAGCGGAATGTATTTATTCTTGTGTGGAGCTAAAGCTCACATGATTGAGGGCCGAACTTCTCTTTCACCTGCGCAGAGGAAACAACAAACGTAGCCTACCATTGAATTTGAGTGCCATACAAACACCGCGTGGACGTGACGTGAGGTAACAGATGCCCTCATCGGACTACATTGCTTCACAGGTCTTGTGATTCGTGAGCTCCTTCTACGGCAAGTCAAAGACAAAAAACCATGAAATGATGCGTGATCTACAGACTTTCAGAAGCTTTCAAACAGCTTGGAAGCTCATTCAGCCATAGACAAGCTGGTAGATCATCTTGAGAGTTGTTTTCGTAAGTTGTATGATCAAGATTGCTCTGATGTAAATACAGCCGATACACAACAATTTCTGATGGTACAAAGGCTGACGATGAGCATGGCCTCTCATTCGTGACCCTTGGAACATCTTACAGAACGCTAACTAACCCGAGTAAACCGACCCAGCGCTCTCACGACCTGTACAACCTCTCGCCACGTAGTGCCCTCTAAGCCGAGAAGGAACTTCGGCTAACTCACCAAGTCTGGCAGCATTTCAGCCATTCCGCAGCCAACATGGTCATCGGCTGGAAACGTTACCCACAACACAGACTTGGAGATAGTACCTGGGGTGACTCTTACGCGCCAAGCTACAGCGGCTCCCAGAGCTTGACCCCAACTCGCATTGCAAGAAGACAAACTGTGAATAACCCAAGGAGAAGGCCAAACGGTCGCTGTCGCTCTTGTAAGACAGCACATGTAAACTGTAACCCCACAGTCTTATGCAAGATGCATTGATTGCAAAAATCGGCTTGCACCAGAAAATGATATCGGAGGCTTTGACAAGAAGCTTGATAATGAATCGATGATTCTAGTTTATGAATCTCCACTGCTTTCTCTAAAGAAATGTAGCTGAAATGTATTCCACTAATCACTCACCCTTTATCTTGCCGCATCATGCATACACTCTGTGCAAAATTTCCCCATTGATCGGCGGAAACAAGTTTTTATGAGCCAAATTTTACTTATTTTCTCATTCAGCAAATTGCCAACATATTTCTTTAACAATCTTACTCAATGATCGGCTTCCGGCGCGATCAAGTAAATGCCGAGTCTTAGCGTCCAAATGCGGTTATAAGAAGTGAATCTTCTCAAATGGGATTCTCCTGTCCACCCCCCACCACCCCAATCTATCCCTCCATTCCTCCTACTCCATTTTCTGCCGTCGCCCGCCCGCACCCCCTCTCCCGCCCCACTTCTCAAATGTTTTTGCCGTTGATACGCTAGAGGCCTATTGCAAACCAACGGATGCTCACATGGCTAAAACATCCTTCAAAACCGGCACGAGACCCAAGACTACCCCTGACTCTCCCCTGTAACTGGCCACTACCACAAACCCACACGCCCCCACAACCCACCAAAACAATATGTCCAGCTTCTGTAATGTATTGCATACATATTAGCTTGAAGAGATCAAACATTGTTCACGAAGAAAAAACGACAAAATACTGTTTTGTATAAATTAGCATTATGTATATATGTAGTACACGTATTGGAGATATGCAGCAGCATATTGTGCAAATTAACTATTTTAAAAATGTAAAAAAAAAAAAAAAACTTGTTATTGGGAATACGCACAGCATTATGCACTGTATGTTGGAAGTACATGTACATGTACCTAACAGTCTGAGTTCTTACTTGATTTATTGATAGCCTGTTGCTTTCTTACTTTATAGTACATTCTGTCGTCCATCTTCACGTTTACAATACACATGGTAACACACTTATCACTCATGGCCCTTATCAATTTACTTCCTGTTTGAGGATGCAACCAGCTGAAGCATTCGTGAAATGGTTATGAAAATGTAATGAAAGTAAAGGTGTGCTCCACTTGTTAGATCCAGTTGCATTTTTAATCTAGCATACTAATCAAGAGCTAATATCCTACTCTGTACGGCTTTGTGGATTGGTTGTTCTTTTTATTTAAATTCACAGGATAAAAGACCTCGATCACAAAAGAGGCTGTTTTCAGAAGGCCGTGGATAAATGCAAAATAGATATATGAGTTAGCGTGTGGATGACACCAGCATGTCGATACGGAGCTGCATGTATTTATAAACTTTCTTTGAATATTGAAATATATTGGGAGAAGAAAAGAGCAGAGATCAAAAGACTGAGAGAGAAGCTTATATAAAGAAAAAAGGGTAGGGGTAGAGAGATGAAAGCCAGGGTGGAGACAGGGAAAGAAAGAGGTTGAGAATGGTAAGACCGTAGCACAGACGAAGGAGAGTTGAAAGAGAGAGAGAAACACAATTGTAGAAAAGAGACGATTGATTACTTGGTAGATTTCAGCTATAAAAAAGGAAAATCATATATATATATTTCAACCTCAATTTTATGTCAGATGGAAAAATTATCTTTCCTCACCATTTTTAACAGATAACCTAACCTATCTACAATATACAGCACATTTGCAGTAGCCTAGCACATATAATCATAAAAAAAATATTTGTTTGCATTTCCAAGCATTTATCAGAATTACCAATTAAACATTAATGTATCCCTATTCAGTTCTTTCTTCAAATGACATGTTCTGGAAAGTACAAAATTACTCTGCGTACTATGTCAGTTATAAACAACAACAGAGAGCAGGAACAAACAATATATCATATATCTGTGTGTGTGTTGTGTGTGCGTGCGCGTGTGCGTGTGCGTGTTTGCGTGTTGTTTGTAATATATCTATGGTGTGTGTGCCATGCTAGCTGCGGGACTTTAGACTGCGGTACCGGCGTTCAGCCTCTCGGCTTAGTTACTCGATGGGGGCCCTGATGGTACGAGGTGTACGAGTACCAAGTTCATGGACAGTTACCGTGGCGCCACCTAGCGCGGGACGTTATCCGCTCAGAATTGAACATTACTCATTAATGTGGGCAAGATTTTCAGCACTTGGCGACTCTTCGTTTGTGTATTCCTTATATTTTTCCTCAGCCTATGTGCAAATTTCAGGTAGTTTGCCAGATGGTGGTCACAAAATTCAAATAACATAGAGCTCTTTTGGCTTGTTGCATTGCGGTCTATTAATTCAATTAAAACTTGCTTAAATGCATTAAAATGATTTATAAGAATGTCAGCTAATTGATTCGTCAAAATGAGTAGTTTCTAACGCCTTATAGACAATTCTCGCAGGAATTATAAAACGCATGATATCTTCGTATTTATAATGGTCATAAAATAATTGCTTTTCAACCCCATTTCCTCAAATATCTATATACTCAATAGACAGCCATGAATCTAGAATCTGAATATATATGCATTTTAAAATGTCCAAATTGCCCCTAAATTAAGTGAACTCATTCGCTATCACCGGTCACATATTTACATTGTTTGGGTTGTTGATAAGGGTAACATACAACAAATCATCAATTAATTAAGATAATACAGAGCCTAATGGCAACTCGTTTTTCTTTAGCTGAGAAAAAGACCGCCCATCAATATGGCGAAAGGGTCTTGAGTTTCTACAGGAGCTCGAAGAGCCACTCACTCGGGTTTTACACCGTCGCCTCAATAGCATTTCATCGAGCTGAGCCAGTTCGCTGCTACTAGCGCACACATCCTGAATCAACTGCCAACTCCCTCTGCAAGGCAGAGGACAACGTGCTCTCGATGCATTAGATGTCCTTTGCACAATGAATAGCTTTGGAATGGTGTATTAGCTATGCTCGGTAACAATAGAAGATCTTAATGTTTCATCTCATTGTACATGCATCAACGGCAATCTTCAACCTGTTCGAATATTTTGCGTTGGAAAGTGAAACGAGCAGTTCTCTTCTAGTAAGTGGCTCCACAGATGAAGAATAGGGTGCACTTCCAAACTGCATCTACGGCTTCTTCCTTCATTCTCTCCAGTATCATCTCACTGCCGAAATGACACCGTATTTCATCCCTAAAGTATGGTTCATAGGTAAGCATTAGCTAGTTGTATAAAACGTGTATTAAGCAATGAGAGTAAGAATCCTAACAAAACTAATAAAATCATTTACAAAAGTGAAAAATAATGATTTGAAAAGTGCAATGTTATTTGTTCTGTATTTTTTTTAGTTTTTAATGTAATATTTGTTGGTACTGAAATGGTACATGTTTCTGTTCTGAAGATACATTTATACTGGTAAAAAAGATACTATATACATATATATATATATATAAATGTAATGTATACATCCTATGGTGATTTATATGCTTTGATATATACTAACCCTAGATTGGCCACTGCGTGCACTGCTGCGGGTAAACCGAGCCACCATCTTGTTCCGGAGAACATAGTAAATTGCTATGCACATCGTTTGGATAATTTGTTAAATTTCTTTACTTTTCATACTTTTCATACCTCCATGAAATATTTGATCCAAATTTGAGATTATATGCGATTTTAAGATGCCTGAGAGATGTACAGCATTTAATTGTGACAACACAAGAGGGTATGCAGGGCTGTACTGGCATCCCAAAATGTGCTACTGCAGAAAAATGTAGGATCACCCAGTAATAATTGCATGAGTGGTGGTGATTGTGTGTGCTGCAGGCACTACAACGGCGACACGTCGCGGGCGCAGCGCACGCGGTTCGGCGCAGCCCATGCGGGGGTTGTGGGGCCATCCTCCAGAATTATTGAAATTAGAGTCTGGAAAGTGGCCATTTGCCTCATTTCCTGCATTCAGGCTATGGTTGAAAGCAACCATTCGATCATTTTAAAAGCGTCAATCGTAAATTTCAAAAAGCATAGCGACTCCAGCGATATTGAACTCGAAAAACAAATTATATAATTGTTTTTTATTTATTTAAAATTATTATTAAAGGATCGTTTACTTAGGTTCTAGTTATTTCACGTAAATTTAGGTTAAAATTACGCTACATAAAAACTTTCATGGTTCAATCACCATTAAAATATATTAAAAATTGTTTTAAAACTCATGACTAACAGCATTTTGATTAGCAACGGACGGTGGCGCCACTCCAAAGCGCACCATCTGATAAGTTGCGCAAACGCACTTTTCACCCAAGGAGCTACAAGACGAGAGTGGTTTCTAATTTATTAATCTAAAAGCCCAAAAGGATTGTAATATCTTATAAACGAA